CCCGAAGACGAATTAGACCCCGAAGACGCTTTCCGCAGACGAATTCTGATGGCAATGTTGGATCGGATTGAGCAGATATGTGCCGATGGCTGAAGATGCAGTTTATAGCAGCAGAAATCTTTGATTGCCGCTTCATGTGCTGCCATGTACGTGGAGGTAGCATGTTTATGGTCTGCGTTCCACAGCAGCCGTTGTTTATGGCTATAGGCTATAGTAGTTACCCGAAGATTTGCACATCCCGTCATGATCATCATGGCCATTGCTTCTTGGGCTCACAGCTGTGAGCTGAGCCATTGGTCGGCATGGATAGCGAAGAGGAGGAGATCTGGAGATGCCATGGATGCCATGGATGCCAGTCGGTACTCTGAGGGTCTTCCGAGGGTGGAAGTTGACCGCAGGGACTGGGAGTTCGTCCGCAGGGATGTCCTAAGTGATCCTTTTTCCATCTTTTTTCCCCCATGGATTTGGGGTTCGGGATTGGGACCGATCGCCGGATTTTTGAAACATATTTAAACAGATGCAACATGGGGCTGAATCCCCCTGAACATGCACGTTTGGGTCTTCGTTGTGGTTCTCTAGTTTTGGGATGGCACCGGCCGGGAGCAGCGCTATGGGCCTCGCTACAGGGTGCGGAGATCTCAGTGCAATCCGGCCGATGCGGACATTGCTGGGAGATTTGGCTTTGCGGGAGCTTTGTTTGTGCATCCAGAAACACGCACATGTCACATGTCTGTCTGTGTGCTTTTTCATGTCCTTTGAGCAGTTCCATGATGATGTTGCAGGTGATCCCTGAACCCAAACACCGAATTCAAAGGAGCTGGAATCCACAATCTCAGACTTCCTCACAGCCTAGACATGAGAGAACACCTAGGGTCTACATAAGAAACCAATCTTGCATATTCATCACCCAGACTCTTAAACTCCGCAGAAGTCTCTTCATGGCCTCAGATGTGTGTTTTGCATCAACCGATCGATGCACCTGGCAGATGCTGTCCTGTGGCTACAATATCGAAAAAGCATCATTCAAGATATTCAAGCCCACCCTACAGAATCCATCACAATCCTGGAACCTTCTTTGTCTTCAAGAGAGAAGGTACAGTTGTTACATCATGTTACATCCATTCATGGAGTTTGTGCTGCGATATCTTGGGATATCTCGGGGTGGTTTTTGTTTGCTAGCTTTTCCTCCTGAACACACTGGAACGTTGGAACATCAACTTTTGTTTGTCAAACATGAAAGCTGGACCATAGATTTGTGGTTTGCCTCCCAGACGGCCCCTGACTAACGACTGCCATTGCTACAACATACATTTTACAGAAGACACGCACAGCTGTGGAGTGTGTGTCCGGGTTTGTTAGCTGGTGGATGGTGAACATGACAAAGGATAGACTGAAATAGGTACCACCAGGACCTTCTGACCGGAAATCCAAGGTCGCATTCCCGCAGTGGTCCTGGCCGCATCGAAAAAAGTAGCGTTATCGTGGCAGCGCCGAAAATAATCATTTCGACGCTGTTGTGCCGGTGATGGCCTTGTTTGTAAGGATTTTGTGGTTTGCAAGGTCCAATGAATTGGACCCAAATCCATTGATGAAAAATGCAAGGGTCATGACAGACATGATCAAATAGATAAGTTGTATTGTATTGTTGCTTTTCTTCCCTGACTCTCATCATGTTATATCAGGTACCATCCCCAATGGAAGTGATGGCAGCTGCCGGCGCAGCGTGATATACACATGGTTTGGAGAAAGAACCAGCCTTTGTCATGGGGGGATTGCATTCTGAGAGCAGACCATTCATACTTATCTTGAAGGTTTTGCGCATGTGTCCCCATGACGTGACTTACCCGAATATTCGACAAACTTCTGTTGGACGTGCTGGACCCATTTGGAGGCTAAGTTGAAGCTATGTTGAGTGAATTGTGGGCCCATGTTGGGCCTCATTTCAACCCAGACTCAAGGATGCCTGGCGTTTTGTATCATCTGAAGCCTATGTCAGGGTGATGGGAGTGGCAGAGTTTAGTGCAGATTTGCGCGAACAAGAGCTTCAACGCACAAGTTTACTGTTAAGGGTGCCCAGTCCCGTTTCAGTGGTACGTTGAGCTAAGTAGGAAGGCTATGTTCAATCATACCGTGCGCGGTACGGGGGCTTCTTACCTTTTAATACAACACAATGTCCAATTGTTGCGCTGTGTGTTCTGCCATATCTTGGACATGTGTTGGGGTTGCCTGCTGCTTCAACAGTGTCAAAACGGCCCCTGCTACGAAGAACCGTTTCGTGCAGTTTGGAGCCTCAGACGGGGTCCTGTCACGTCAGGGAATGCGGCGTCACAATGTGGCGTCAGGGGGTAATGCGGCGTCAAAGGGGCCATGTGGCGTCAGGGAATGCGGCGCCAGAATGCGGCGTCAGGGAGTAATGTGGCGTCACGGGCAAATGCGGCGTCCGGGAATGTGGCGCCAGGAGGTAATGCGGCGTCAGAGGGGCAATGTGGCGTCAGGGAATGCGGCGCCAGAATGCGGTGTCAGAATGCGGTGTCAGGGGGGAATGCGGCGTCAGGGGATGTGGCGTCAAATGTGGCGTCAGGGAGTAATGTGGCGTCAGGGGAGGAATGTGGCGTCAGGGAAGAATGCGGCGTCAGGGGGTAATGTGGCGTCAGGGGGTAATGTGGCGTCAGGGAATGCGGCGCCAGAATGCGGCGTCAGGGGGTAATGCGGCGTCAGAGGGGAATGTGGCGTCAGGGAATGTAACGTCGCAGTACTAGGAAAGTGGCGCCATAATGTGGCTGCAGCGTCAAGGTCAAAAGCCGGATCCCGTCTGCCGCCGCCCTGAATTTTTTGGTTCTTTGTTCCAACAGCCCAGCAGAGAGCCCGAGACAGAGAGACAGGGAACCTCATGGAAAATCCAGTTCTTCCCCATGAAACAGGGAGCCGAAGAGACGTTGGCCCGGAAGTTCCCCAAGCTCTTAGCAGTTGAGACACAGCCATTTTGCCCAGGTAGCTTGTGGCTCTTTACTCCGCAGCAGTTGGTGTCCATCGCGCACTCGTTCTTTTGGCTGGCAGTTGGTGGCAGTCGGTGTTACCAAGACGATCCGGGTGGTGTATCTACTGTAGCTAGAACCTGAGTAACCCCCCATTTTGGAGCCCCAACCACTCAAAATAGGGTCTTTTCCTGTCAAAACAGGGAACGGTGGGTTCTAGGTATGCTTAGGAACTGTTGCTCTCGGCCGACACTGCCATGCCTTTCACATCGGAGGCACAGCACGGACGGTCGGCTGCTCTTTCAGACTTTTGGACTCCAATCAGGTGATGGACCCAATCCTCAGTAGAGGGTCTTCTTTCCAATCCACAGACTCTACTTTCCTCCAGATGGTCTTCTTTTCTTCAGAAAACCCGAGGTTGTGTGATGTTGTGTGTGTGTGTGTCCAAATTCTTCCATCCAAAGAGAGCCACTGACCTCAGGGTGTGTTCGGGAGAACTTCGCTTTCGCGTGCCCACCACCAGTTCTGCCAGCGCAGAAGGCGAACTTCCACGGTGTCCAAGTAGATCACCCCCGCCCGAGCGCCCTGCCCTGCACCCCGAGCGCTCCCCACTCCCGGAGAACATGCGGTCATGTGATACGCGTTCAAGCAGCTAGCGAGGAACTGAAAGAGGTACTTCACAACACTTCCTTTGTACTTATTATTGAATTATTGACTCCTTATCATTTTTTGTTTTTAACAGTTATACAGTTATACACTTAGAGCCAAAGGCAGACTCTCTTGATATCTTTTGATCCTGACAGGAGTCTCCCTCCGGCCCTTTGTGCCAACACTCTGTCTTTTTTTTTCAGAACCGCAGCTCCTGGGAGTGCAGTTTTTCACGTTCTTTTCATTAGCAATAGGCCTAGATTTTAAAGGAACAATGAACGGAATTAATCATTTGCAAAGGATGAATGAAAGGAATAGATCATTAAAATAACAGGAAATAATCATTTTCAAGAACAAACTATAGGTATTAATCAATTTTAAATGGACAATGAAAACAAATATATAATCATATGTAAAAGGAACATTGAAGACAATTATACAAATTGCAGGTTGAAAGGGATTCATAAAAGGGAAAATGACATATGGAAGGCATGAATCATTTTTTAGAGGTAAAATGAGAGGAATTGTTCAATTTAATAGGGAAAATGAAAGGGAATCACAAAAGGGAAAATAAAATATAAAAGGAACTGATTATTTTAACACCTTCTATCTCTGCCATCACAAGAGGGCCAGACTCAAAAGCAACTTGACACTAGATGCTGATAAGCCACAAAACTAGTGCATACATATCTTCAATCACATCCAATCTTCTAAAAAGGTGCACTCCCACAGCCTGCCACTCTCTTATTTTTTTCCGGGCATTCTACATCGCACGATGTCGCATGGGTTACCACGGCGGTTTGGGGTGTGCTCAAGTTTGAGGTAGTTAGTGCGTTCTGCACTGATTTGCTTAGTGTTCTTTTTTTGGTGCTTTCGTGCGTCTTGCACGGTTGAGTCTCGAAACGTGGAGTTTCATGGCGACGCTACGACTTCGTGGCACCTTCATCGACGTCGAGGAAGGATATGACGTCGATTCAGGGAGGTCCAGGACGGGGGAAGCGTCGATCCGCAGGTCGCTGTGGGTCGCACCCAGGGACCGACCGGTTCCCACCGAACATGAGAATAGACGTCACCAGACGGCAACCGAACCAAGGGTGAGTCCAGGGGCTCCAGGTTTTGACTCACAACCATATTATTAGTAAAAAAGCACGTCGTCCTTACCTTTAGTGGGGAAGTTTTTGGAAAGCCTTACGTGCATGAGTCATGACGAACATCACGCACTGACCGCACTAACTACCTCACGCCAGGAGCTTCTCACCCGCACGTGCACGAACAGAAGCAGACGTCAAAGAGTCTGAGCATGCCGGCCTGCAATATGTTTTTTTTTCCTATTCTTTTAACTATATATATAATTATCTATATATGTTTTGCATGTTTGCTATGTTTATATTACTTTTTTTTGTAGAATAACTCTTCATTAAGTTGTTTGTCGGTGTTTTCTTGCATTGTGCTTTCACGACGGACGGATGGCCATTGGGAGCATTTTTGCAGTGTTGTGATAATGTTTTTAAAGTCTTGTGCTGCAGCCCGCAAAGAGGGCATGCAACACATTGCCACACCATTTTCCTGGTTGCCCTCACCAAAGCTACAGTGCATGCCTAGCTGGTTCTGCCTCCACTCGTGCCGCCACGGCGGAGTCTCGCAACAACATGACCATGATGATCAAACTGCATCGTAAATCCCTCCAACTGCACAGTCGCTCCTTGGATCTTTGTGCTTGGTTGATGTCTCAGGTATCTTGCGACCTTGCTTGGGAGATCCTGGGCAGAGGAGTTTCGTTTTGCTCCATTTCCAGAGAGCAAGACCGATGTGAATGAGGCCGGGGAATTTCGGGATTTTTGCTTTGAGGAGGGACCTCCACGAGAAATGTCACGAGCCTCGGATTGTTTGCTGAGAGTGGCCGTGATGGAGATTGATGGAGCATAGGAGGAAGGATTGACAGATAGATAATAGCGGGGATACGGGAGAATGTGGACTCTTGATTGATATGCCCCCCATTTGAATTGGACAGTCCTCTTCATATGGGGGATTGATTAATCAAGAGTCTACATTAGCTGATTTGTGCCCCAATCAACTCCCAACCACCTGATCAATAGAGGCTGCCGAGGCCGAGCCAGACAAAAAGCAAGACGAGGAGGCTGCGTTGAGCCCCGGCAGCATTGGACATCCGGTTCTTTGCTGCCGCCCATGTGTGCGCTTCTTCAAAGGGGAATGCAATCTTGGTGCCAATTGTGCCTATTGTCACCTTCAGCACCAACATTTGAAGCTCGCTCTCGACAAGAACCAGCGGCAGTACTTGCGGATGATCGCAACTCGCTGGCAGAGGAGGTTGTGGGTGGACTGAGAGAATAGACCCAATCAGTTACAGCACAAGCGACACAAGGCGCCCTAGTTTCCCAAGCTGGCTTTTTGACGTCTTTCCATTCTTTGTACTTCCTTTAAGGGATTCCAAATTGCTTGGGAGTTTATGACGAATAGCCACAGCAGGTGTTCACCTGTTTCTCCCTCCTGGCTGAGGCGGGGGTTCACCCAAAATGAAGAGTCGATCTACTCTCTGGCTAACTAACACGGAAGTGGACAGCCAGCTGTTTGTGGAGGAAAATGGTGCGGGGCTTGCCACAGGTGTCTGGCTATTCTGCCAGACTTTGAAGTGGCCAGATCCAACCACTGTTGCTCAACCAAATGACCCTGGAATTACCTGGGCTGAATTAGCTACTTCTTTTACCATGGCCTCGGGATTGCAACTTCCTATTTGGCATATATAACCAAAACAGATGAGGTGTCGGGACCAATAGCCTTTGATTCCCCTAAAGCTCTACTCTAGACCGAGTACCACTGATCCGTGCTGAGACAAGCATCTGCATTTCGTACAATTTCTCGCAAATTCGTCCCGGACGACCTTGAATCCAAATTAATCCAAATCCAAAGCAATGAGCTTGCTTCATATGGGCTTCCAGAGAAAGTGTGTGGATGACCTACGACGACCGCTTTGACCTAATGCCAGTGCCGTGTATTCCTTACGCGGAGCTGGAGGGTCGGTCTCCACCCACACTTGTTCAAACACTCAGCGTGTTACTGCCGAATCAAACCAGAATGGTAACATGAAAAGTCGTTTGAGGCTACGAAAGAACGTTTCAAAGCAAATGTTCGAAAAAGTAGTTCTTGCAGATAAATCCTTCGATGACTTGCTCCCCCAATGCAATTGGCCGTCATAGACGCTTTCGTTCCGAATTAGTTGCATGATTCTTCTCTCTGTACATTCACACATGGGTTCAAAACCTCATAGTGTGGTTTTATCGTTGTGTCATATACGCTCATTGTCATTTTCTGTTACCTACCCGGTTTCATTCTAAGGGGTTTACAGGAAAATGGTCTTCCCAGTGGGCATTGTCCATTTCTATGTGATCTGCTCGTTGTTTCGTGTACATAGAACATGAGGCCATCGAGATAGGCGTCCCTCCCAATGACGACATCCTTCCCTCCCCAATTCCAAAGGACCTGGGTGAGCTGGTGGCCTTGTTGCTGCCACACATCCACATGGCCATCTCGGCGGTTCCGGACTTGTCAGCAGAACTCGCTGACCCTTTGGTCAAAACGCTCCAATCGAAGATGGTGGATCCTTTCCCGCCGATGTGCAAAGATCGCTGGAAAGCCCAGGAGTTCGAGAAATTCTTGGGGCGGTGGTGGGTTTATTGAGGGTCGGTCAATGTTCATTGTTGGTTTTTGTTGATCCAGTCTTTTGTGGCAGTGTTCGTTCTCCTGAATGCGGAATCCATGAGAACTGTCATTCTGATGACATGGAAAGAGCTTCCAGTGGGCTTGCAGGATTCAAGACACATGAGACATTACTACATTTCCCTAAAGAATGTGAGTGTATATAGGCACAGAAGATTGATAGTTGTGAGTCGTTTTGGGAAATCAGATTGTTTGGAACATGGGTTTCTCGTTCATTTTTCTGAGAAGCTGCAGCTGGTGCATTTCAGGGGCCCTCAGAGCCTCTATTCTCCCTTCCAACACGGAATCCTGCCTCCTCGAATCACATATACATACTCATATACATATATACACTCATTATACTGTATACTGTATATGGTGTTAGACCTAACCTATGGACCTCTTGAAAAGAAGTTACTACTTTTCAGTGGAATCCCCAAAAGCAATGCAACCAGCAGCGTTGGTGCAAGAGTCTATGCGCCCGAGGCCACCTTGAGCGAAAGTTGCGGAAGATGTCCTTGCCACTTGGCACGATTTCAGGGCATTGAACAACTTGGGAGTTGTGCGCTGAAGAACTGGGGTTCACCAAGTTTTTGAGACGATGTTTTGATTCGGTCATGTGCGACATGAAAGCACAGGATCCTCCCTGCCGAGGTCAGCTTTGCTCAATTGCATCGCTTCGCGCGGTGGTGACTTTGGTGCAATCATTAAGGAACATATTGAGGAACTTCGGTTTGCGATGCTGAGATGAGCGTCACAACAGATCTGGATGTGGCTCCTGTCTTTGTGGGAACCCAGTTGAGCGCTAAATCGCTCTAAATAGTATTATATATACATCTTCAATCAATTCATTAATATGTATGTATACGCCATCGTTGAATTGTAGAATTCCATCCTCAATTTCTATCCATGTTGCAGGTTACTTTGAAAGATCGACACATAAGAACACTATTGCCTTAATCCTGTTATATTCATGTCATTTCAAATAGTGAGTCGACACGCAAATCGTTCTTTGCACTTCTACTCTGAACAAGATCGACCATTGTGTTGGTCCCTTCATCAGCTGCGTGCATTGTTTGTTATTTCACATCCATTTCGACTTGTATAATTAGCAAGCAGGACATTAGGCATGGTCCAAAGACCATTTGCAGAATACGTATTTGTATACACAGGATCGGTTATATATTTCAGACGAATAATGCACTAGCCTATAGACAATACATCATACACCACAGATAGGCTAGCAAAGGAACAGAGCTACTAAGATAGAAGATGGACCATGATATTATAGTTTGGTTGGTGACATTGACCAAGTCCTTTTCAGTATGCCTGCAGACAGACCTCTGAATGTTGCATCGTACCCCCAAATTGACGCTTGCGTTTGGCAGCAGGCATTCATGCATCAAATTCTCATAATTACACTTACTCATTCTATTGCGTTTGTGCAATCATTTGACAGTATGGCAGTGCTAACACCAACGCAGTGTATATTATATAGATAAATCCTAACATGATGGAACAACATACAACTTGTTGTTCCAGGTGGAGTAAGTGCTGTTGTTTAATGAGGAACTACTGGGCTGGCTGTTGCAAGAGCTCACATGTGATATATTTCACTCGTCAAGGAGGATCCGACTACTTAGGAGTTTGAGTCCAAGGAGTTCACCTTAGCGTCAGATTTTGCCATTGTACTGAATTCTGGGTTCTTTCACTTGGAGCCGCGCGTTTGGTAGCTTTATGCTTGGCATTTTCATGCCAGTGCCAAGAGTGCCAGCAAGATTGCTAATGCAACTCAGCTGTCCATTGCGCTCTCCAAAGACCAGAATGGTCAGAGACGAAATGGCAGATCAAGAGCAAGCCGCTCAGAAAGGCAAGTTGTCGGCTTTAGTATGTTTGCATATAGTTGGTTTTGGGCGTGTGTCAGGGGAGTCAGAAGAACCACTGCTATGGGTCACTCAGCCAACGTTTCCGTATGATTGACCACAGCACCGGCTTGTTGTCATGTCACTTTATGTTGACATTTTTCCATGTCGAGTTTTTGGCAGCTGCCAGAACTCTCGGAGGAGTCTAGGACCTTGAGAATGGGAAAAAGGTGAGCTTGCATCTTCAATCTTTGGCTTCACGTACGCATTGTGCGTGCGGGACGATGTAGCAAACGACCTCCCGGGTAGGTCAACCAAGATAAAGTATCCTGGTTTTGACCCACAGCCAGTTGTCTTGCTGTACTTTTGAGGAACTTTGAGGCTGAGACCAGCGTGACAAGCACAAGGTATTTGCCAAGTGATCTCAAGTAGGTTGTTACCTCTGTATATATATATATGGTTGTTTCAATCAGAGGAACTGAGGAGCTACCGGAACCTCCTGATTTTTTTAAAACATGATTTCAGCCCTGAAACAGGCCTCTGTTCTTTCTTTTCTGCCTGATTCCAGACCGACCCAGTGACACGATGGCTGCCTGCTTGGTGCAAGCATCCCCGTCTCTGCACGAGGCTTGCCAGGCTGAGATTCTTGAGCCCAAAGGATCTCGAGGAGCTCTTGGAGGACACGTTTCGACCCGTCGAGACCTCGAGACCTCGAGACGGGTCTCGAGACACCAGCGCGACGAGAGACCGCAAGAGCGCGGTGCGAAGCGATGGATTGCACACGGTGCGGTGGGGTTGATGTAGAGACCCTGAAAGTGGGGCCTTTGCTGCGGAGATCTGTGGACTGGGGGGAGATCTGTAGAGTAGAAACGTAGAAGAATGAGGAAGAGCTGGCACTTCTTCACATTGGAGGTGTATTTTAATAGGGAGACCCACAATCAATGGGTTGACTGGTCTATTTTCCAAACCTTCCACGGGGTTGTTGGTGGTATGCCGGGTGATGCTGGTCTCTGTATTTTTCACACCCACAAGGTATCACCACTTGGGTCGTCCAGGCGCTGCTGCCACACGTGGGAAGGCTCAGTGATCCAGAGGTCTCGAGGTGCGGCGTGTGCTCACTTCACTGAGTGGGGACGAGAAGCCAGACTTCTTCGTGCAAGTCCAAAATCATTCTTGTGCACAGAATGAAGAAACTTAGGCTACAAGATTTATTTTAGGGGCTCCGTACCAGGTTTTGGGTCCATGAAAGAATTACACCACCGTAGACCCCAAACAGTTTGTGTTTTTCAACATCGAAACTAGAGCTTGGACAAGGGATTGCGCAAGGCAGAGGCGGCCACAGCAGCCCAGAGCTGGGAGACAAATGTAAAGGGTTGCAAGGCAGAGACGGACACAGCCGTACAGAGCAGGCGGACATATCTTAAGAAAAGAATTGAGAAGCCCTAAACCTTTTGGGGAATTATTCTTCAAGTGCGAACATGATGCTGGTCATGCTGCTCAATCAGCGGGGAGCTGACCACGTGAGGACAAGAAACAAAAGCATGAGGAGCGAAGGATGTGACATGAAATTGATTTTTGGTGCCTGACGTATGCCCTCCGTCCCAACTGAACAGAGAGATCGCTGCCACGCCGCCGAAATCCAATCCGGTCATTCATCCAACGCTTGCCCGAAAAGGAAAACAAAGCTGAGAGAGTTACACACTGCGGCAGGAATGCAACCCCGGAGACAGTCACGCACCCATTTCAAAGGAGCAAGAACCTTTCACAGGTGAACCTGTTCCAGCGGACAGGGCAGAAAACACCAGTGCAGGCACCAAACCTGAAAGACAAAAAGAAAGAAATCACATGGGAGACAAATGAATAGAAATGCTACATGGCCAAAAGAGATGTGGTAGACAAATGAATAAAAATGCTACATGGCCAGCAGAAAAGGGCGGACACCAGCAGTGACAGATCCGCGAAACACATGAATAGAAATGCTGCATGGCCAGCGGAAAAGGGCGGACACCAGCAGTGACAAACCTGAAAAACAAATGAATAGAAATGTTGCATCGCCAGCGGAAAACGGCGGACACCAACAGTGACAGACCTGGGAGACTAATGAATAGAAATGCTGCATGGCCGACGGAAAAGGGCGGACACCACCAGACAAATGAATAGAAATGCTACATGGCCAGCGGAAAAGGGCGAACACCAGCAGTGAGAGACCTGGGAGACAAACGAATAGAAATGCTACATGGCCAGCGGAAAAGAGCGGACATCAGCGGAAAAGGGCGGACACCAGATGGCCAGCGGAAAAGGGCGCGAACCCGACCAGAAGCACTCAGCCTGGGAGACAATGAAAAGAAGTGGGAGACAGTTGAAAAGAAGTGGGAGACAAATGAAAGGAAGCCTGGGAGACAAATGAAAAGAACTGGGAGACAAATGACAAATAGAAAGAAGTGGGAGACAAATAAAAAAAGGACGTGGGAGACAAGCCACCCAGCCCGGACAAATGAAAAGAAGTGGGAGACAAATGAAAGGAAGTGGGAGACAAGCCAGACGCAAACCCGACCACAAGCACCCAGCCTGGGAGACAAATGAAAAGAACTGGGAGACAAATGAAAAGAAGTGGGAGACAAGTGAAAGGAAGTGGGAGACAAGCCAGCCGGGAACCCGACCACAAGCACCCAGCCTGGGAGACAAATGAAAAGAACTGGGAGACAAATGAAAAGAAGTGGGAGACA